AGTGAAACAGGATGTTGAGATAGGTTTCATTCTGTCTCAGTGTTGGCTGAGGTCCCAAAACATTACCAAGAAAACAATAAGTGGCAATGACATCACATTCCTTAGTGAAGGTTTCTAACCCTTAGCCCAGCATCTTGATGCTGTGATTGAAGTCCCAGAGACCATGATGGGGGCTGGGAAGGCAGGAAGGAGAGGGATGATTCCGTCTAACCTCAAGCTGAGTGAGGGAGTTGCAAGGAGACTGTTTGGCGCCCTTGACTTGCTCTGTGTCCCCTGGAGGTTATGGAGACACTAAACCTACTAACCCTGAGCTAGAAAAGTTTAGAGGTCAAACATCTGCTGGAGCTACACCTGCCTGGCTGCCTGCAGAGCAAAGAGGCAGCTGCACTGGGAGCCAGCTGTGCTTTTGCTAATAAAGCAGCAGGATCTGCTGTCCAGGGGCCAGGAGAAGCCTTGTGGCCTTTTAAAAACTGGCCCCACCCAAGAGCCCTTCCTGCCAACGGACAATGTGGCCTTGGCAGTGGAGGCTGGAGGTGTGCCCAGCAGACGCAGTTGTTGGAGTGTGGGCAGCGTTGTAAATAACCACCTGCTTGGACCCTGGGAGCTACAGATGCTCTTTCCAGCAGGAAAACGTCTGCAGAATGAATGAAGAAGCCCCATTTGAGGAGCAGACTCTGCCTAGTGAATTACAGGAAGGAGCTGACTGATTCAGGAGAAGCCTGCTGTGCCTGGAGTACTCCAGATGGGGGCGAGGAGAGACTTAACTTTGAGTAGGGTTTGGAGTTGGGGCCTGGGCGATTTCCCTACTGAAATGTGAAATGTTTTTGTGACCAGAGGTGACCAGAGAGCTTCAAATTTTTTATGAATGACTGGGAAAGCCTTGGAACAGAGCTCATGCAGGACAGGAAATGAATAGGCTTCTGAATGACCTTAGGTGCCTGGAGAAAGCATAGCTTTTTGCTGCTTTTACTCTGTGAGGTGCTACTTATTTGGGACAATGGCTATACTGATTTAGTGTTTGATGAGAGTACAGTATGTTTAGAAAAGCTCTGAGAGATGTGTTGGGAATTAAGAAGTGAATAATAACCTGCAAGAGCCTGACTGAAGAGAAGCAGCAGGAATTAAGTGGACTGGTTACATGAGATTTTTTGCCTTTTTCCAGGAGAAGTCTGCAGCCTGGGATCAGGAGACTGTTGTGTATTTATTTGGGGTTATAGTGTGGGTAATTGGAGGCCTCATGGTTTTGCGAATTGTCATTTTGAAGAAGAGTAAGGTGAATGGAGAATGCTGCTTTAACGCAGCTGGGTTTTCCTCTGCATGTGATGGTGTGGGAGCCCTTTGATGTTATTAGAGTGGTGGTAATTAAACACATTTCTTCCAAATGAGATGATTGGGATAGGGAGTAGTAGTGTACTAGTAAGCTAGTACTTTCTAACATGTTTTATTTATTATGTTCATTATATGGGGACGCTTGTTATATTTTGTTAGGATGTCATCAGCTGCAACTAACAAAAAACCCCACATCATGTTGGCGAAGCACCTGGAGACAGGCCGGCCCTGACTCACTTCTCTCTGTGATTCTCAAGGCTCCGCTCTCCTGCATTAGTGATATCTTTAGCAAAGTGTCTGAATCCATTCCAGGTATCACATCCAGACAGCAGACAGAAAAAGGGTCTCTCTTGCCGTGCACCAAATGCAGTCCCCCATGATACCTCTACTCACCTCTGATTGGCTGGAACTGGGTCACATCTCACCTCTGAACTAATTACTGATGGCAAGGGGAAAGGAATCCTCATAAGCAGTTTATTAAACTGATTAATATATACTTGCTAGAGCCAGGAATAGAGTCAGCATTCCCTAAGCACATGACTTGGAGAGAAGGAGTGGATACCCAAACCGAATCAGGGTTGGGTTAGGAAGGAGGGGAAATGGATGTTGGATAGCCTTGCAACTCTTCCTGGAATTATATAGAATGACTAATACAGCTAATCAAAAATGACTGATTACAGATTAGATGGTAAGAACATATTAATAGTATATCTAGACTAACCAGCTGTGAAAAACCTCTGAAATACAGTGGCTTAAAGAACATGAAAGTTTGTTTTTGTCTCACCAGTAGCAGTTCAGAGGTATGTGATCCTGAGCTAGTGAGATGCCTTTAATATAGCTTAAATATTAGAGTTGTGAAATTGTAATAACAAATAAAGTACTCAAATTCAGGAACTTAGACAACAAAGACATTTCGTTATATCCCCGTCCAAGGAAAGCTGCTGAAGTGAGTGAGTATCTCTGTTGCATGGGACTGTTCAAGGGCCCAGGTTCCTCCCATGTTGTTTCTTTGCCATCTCCTCAGGGAATTGTCCTTGCTCTGTGGCTAAAACTGGGCCACCACTTCCAGGTTCCAGCTAGAAAGTGGAAAAGGTGAACATGGAGGAGATAGACCAGTTTCTGAAGGTCTAGGCCAAAGTGGCACCCATGACTGTTTCTTGCATTTCATTGGCAAGTTCTTAGTGACATGGGGGCTTCAAAGTTCAAATAGCCTGGGATATGTAGTCTCATTGGGCAGTTTTCAGTGTTAGTTGAGTCATCTCTGTTTCTGGCCAGCAGAAAGAAATAGAACCAGGTGTCTTTAAGAGGATGACTCTTAAGTTGCACCCCTCATTTCTGCTCACATCCTGTTGGCCTAAACTCAGGAAATGGAGTTTGTAACTGGGAGGGTAAGTACCAGGAAAAAGAATGGATTATGGTAGACCATTAGCTGTTTCTCTCACACAAAAGTTTCTCTCTGCTCTGCATAGGGTCTTTCCATCTGGAGACTTGACTTATTAAAGGAAGTTTCATCTAATGCCTAAAGCTGGTAATTACTCATCATTGTTTGGCTGAATTTAGTAACTTACCATTCTTCTACCATAGGGAAGACTGATATTAATAGTAAAGCAATATTAGTAGATATTACAAACAAAAGTTTTTCCAAAACTCTTTTTATAAAATATGTGAACTTGGCCTTCTAAAACAACTTGTATAGTTATATCATGTATTTATGTACATATGTATGTGTGTATGTATGTGTAGTTTTAAACTTTTATGACTGAGTCTGTTTAGTGTTGCTATAGTAGAATACCTGAGATTGGGTAACTTATAATGAACAGAAATTGACTAGCTCACAGTTCTGGAGGCTGTGAAGTCCAGTATCAAGGGGCTGGCATCTTGTAAGGACCTTCTTGCTGTGACATCTCATGGCTAAAGGCAGAAGGGCAAGAGAAGGCCCAGAGAAATAGAAAGAGAGGGGCAATGAAAGCAAGTGCACGAGGGGGTTAAACTTGTCCTTTTATAAGGAACCCCCTCTATGATAACAACATTAATTCATTCATGAGGACAGAGCCCCATGACCCAAACACCTCCATTAGCTCCATTAGGTCCCACCTCCCGACACCACCACACTGGTGATCAAGTTTTCAACACATGAATTGTGGGAGACACCGTAACAATGACCTAAAGTTGTATGTTTGATTTTTTTAAAAAGTCATCTTTTTGGGCTGGGTGCAGTGGCTCATGTCTGTAATCTTAGCACTTTGGGAGGCTGAGGCAGGTGGATCATGAGGTCAAGAGATCAAGACCATCCTGGCCAACATGGTAAAAACTCCATCTCTACTAAAAATATAAAAATTAGCTGGGTATGGTGGCACATACCTGGAGTCCCAGCTACTTGGGTGGCTGAGGCAGGAGAATTGCTTGAACCCGGGAGGGGGAGGTTGCAGTGAGCCAAGGTCACACCACTGCACTCCAGCTTGGCAACAGAGTGGGACTCTACCTCAAAAAAAAAAAGGCATCTTTTTTTTTAAGAAATTAATATTTTATTTGCATTTTCTATTTCATATATCATAAATTGTACTTTTTAAAATATATATTTTATTGCAGTTTAGGTTCTGGGGTACATGTGCAGATCATGCAGGATTGTTGCATAGGTACATACATGGCAATGTGGTTTGCTGCCTCCATCTCCCTGTCATCTATATCTGGCGTTTCTCCCCATGTTATTCCTCCCCAACTCCCTACCCCTCACTGTCCCTCCCTAGTAGCCCTCAACAGACCCCAGTGTGTGATGCTTCCCTACCTGTGTCCACGTGTTCTCATTGTTCAGCACCCGCCTATGAGTGAGAACATGTGATGTTTGATTTTCTGTTCTCGTGTCAGTTTGCTGAGAATGATGTTTCCACATTCATCCATGTCCCTACAAAGGACATGAACTCATCCTTTTTATGGCTGCATAGTATTCCCTGGTGTATGTGTGCCACATTTTCCTTGTCCAGTCTATCATTGGTGGGCATTTGGGTTGGTTCCAGGTCTTTGCTATTGTAAACAGTGCCACAATGAACATACATGTGCATGTGTATTTATAATAGAACGATTTATAATCCCCTGGATATATACCCAGTAATGGGATTGCTGAGTCAAATGGAATTTCTATTTCTAGGTCCTTGAGAAATCACCACACTGTCTTCCACAATGGTTGAACTAATTTACACTCCCACCAACAGTGTAAAAACATTTCTATTTTTCCACATCCTCTCCAGCATCTGTTGTCTCCAGATTTTTTAATGATCGCCATTTTAACTAGCGTGAGATGGTATCTTAATGTGGTTTTGATTTGCATTTCTCTAATGGCCAGTGATGATGAGCATTTTTTCATATGTTTGTTGACCTCATAAATGTCTTCTTTTGAAAAGTGTTTGTTCATATCTGTCACCCACTTTTGAATGGGTTTGTTTGTTTTTTTCTGGTATATCTGTTTTAGTTCTTTGTAGGTTCTGGATATTAGCCCTTTGTCAGATGGGTAGATTGCAAAAAGTTTTTCCCATTCTGTTGGTTGCCAGTTCACTCTAATGATTGTTTCTTTTGCTGTGAACAAGCTCTGGACTTTAATTAGATCCCATTTGTCTATTTTGGCTTTTGTTGCCATTGCTTTTGGCGTTTTAGTCATGAAGTCCTTGCCTATGCCTATGTCCTGAATGGTTTTGCCTAGGTTTTCTTCTAGAGTTTTTATGGTGTTAGCGCTTATGTTTAAGTCTTTAATCCATCTGGAGTTAATTTTAGTGTAACATGTAAGGAAGGGATCAAGTTTCTGCTTTCTGCACATGGCTAGCCAGTTTTCTCAACACAATTTATTAAACAGGGAATACTTTCCCCATTGCTTGTTTTTGTCATGTTTGTCAAAGATGAGATGGTTGTAGATGTGTGGCATTGCCTCTGAGACCTCTGTTCTGTTCCATTGGTCTATATCTCTGTTTTGGTACCAGTACCATGCTGTTTTTATTACTGTAGCATCGTAGTATAGTTTGAAATCAGGTAACGTGATGCCTCCAGCTTTGTTGTTTTTGTTTAGAATTGTCTTGGCTACGCGGGCTCTCTTTTGTTTCCACATAAGGTTTAAGGTGGTTTTTTCCAGTTCTGTGAAGAAAGTCATTGGTAGCTTGATGGGATAGCTTTGAATCTATAAATTACTTTGGGCAGGATGGCCATTTTCACAATATTGATTCTTCCTAACCATGAGCATGGAATGTTTCTCACTGCAACCTTTGCTTCCTTGGTTCAAGTGATTCTTCTGCCTCAGCCTCCTGAGTAGATGGGATTACAGGTGTGCACCATCATGCCTGGCCAGTTTTTGTATTTTTAGTAGAGATGGGGTTTCACCATATTGGCTAGGCTGGTCTTGATCTCCTGACCTCAGGTAATCCTCCAACTTTGCCTTCCAAAGTGCTGGGATTATAGGTGTGAGCCACTGCTCCTGGCCTCAGGAATGTGTTTCTTAGGCATCCGGATGAAGTCATCTTTATTTGCCATGCTTTCCAAGTGAAAAGCATTCGAGTCCTGCCTGCCTCTGCATACCCTCAGCAAAGAACAACTGCATGTGTGCAGAGCAGCATAGACAGTGAGAGTAACATGTGATCTATGGCCCCACGTTCATGACATAGGGATATGTGAACTCAAGAGAGGTAAAGGAAATGTTTCATTTCATTCCCACAACGAAAAACATCCACTATTTTCAAGACAGCTGTTCTTAGGTAGAGGGGAGTGTGGGTAGGATGAAGAAATTAAGTTGGATGCTCCAATGACTTTTGGGAGGTAGGGAGATAAAGTTAGGCGATCTTTTAAAGATTGAGTCGATATCTTGACATGTTTTATGATTTACCTTCTCCTCATACTGTAATACAGATTTCAGAATTCATGTACCACTGAAAATACTAAGAAATGAAAGAGAAAAGATAATCTTTGTGCATCACACTCCTGTGTATATCTATTGCATTTTACAAATGTGGCTCGGTTAGGACTGAGAACGTGGAATTGTAAATGAGTGAGCTCTGCTTGAGTGACATTTGGAAGAGTGAGTATTTAAGTCCAGCATTTCAGGGTGAGTCATGAGAGGAAAAGTCCGGGGTGGGGGTGTGCATTCTGCGCCTGCAAAAAGACACCCATATAAAGAACCCAAGGTGAGAGGAAGATGTGTGTTTTGTTTGGCCAGTGGCAGGTAGACCAGAATGCCAGGAGCAGACACTGCAGGGAGAGTGGGGATGGAAGTGATGTTTCAAGAGGAGGCTGCAGCAGCTGTGAAGATGAAACCAGTCAGATGCCCTCCATGCAAAATTAAAGGAATTAAAGGGCTTTGCTTTGTTCTGTGGTTAATGAACAACCAACAGAGATTTTGAGCAGAGAAGTGACCAGATGAGATCTGCCTTAAGGAAGCAATTCTGGAGGGCGGGAATGTGGAGGACTAGTTAGACAGGGGGCAAGTGCAAGGAAATACATCTGTTTTTCATGTTTCTGTCCATGTGATTGTCTTGTGAACAATGGGGGACTTTTGTTAGACTGCGGTGTTCAGTTGAGGGTCCCCCCACCACACCGAGTACAGGAACAAGAACTGCAAGGACAGATCATAGACAGGGGAGCAGGAGGCCTCAGCTCTTGGCTTTGATGTGGAGACCTTGAGTGTGCTGTCTCTCTGAGTTTGTTCTCTTTGGCCCTAGGGAACCACCTGGTTTGCCTCTGATGGGGGAGCTTAGACAGAAGGGCCCTAGAGTCTCTCTTTGGGCTCAGAGGCATGGAGAACAAAAGGGATTTTGTTCTGTTGTCTAAAATGGTACTTTCTGTCTACTTCCCTTTTCTTATTGCCAACCTTTAGAAAAGTCTCGTTTGAGTGTTCTGTGTCATCTCTGCTTTATTATGGGTCCTTAAGAGAAGAGTCATTTTTCACACTTGGGCCAAACTTAAAGGGGAACCAAATGAAGGGTTAGTGCTGTGGCAGGCAGCTGGTGGTTCTGGCCCTGCTCACCATCAGGAGGTGAGCAGGTCTTGGAAGACCATGCTGGTCTTGGAAGCATTTCTTCATAGGAGGTCATTTCTATAGTCTAGGTGAGAAATAATAAAGTCACAAGCATTAGGACACTGGGCGCAGGAGCAAAGAAGACCAGTTTGCAGAAACCTTTAGATAGCAGATTAAAGGTGAGGGAAGATAAAAGATAGCTTGAAAGTTCTGGGGTTGTGTGCTTAGGAAAATGACACTGCTGCTAACAGATGAGGTCATAGGAAGAGGAGCGGAATTGCCATGGGAAGGTGCTGAATTCATTTGGAGTTCCGTATAGAGTGACTTTTACCCAGTGCCACGTCATTAGCTACTGACAATTTTGGAATTAGAATCTAGGTTTTCTGAAGCCAAGCCAGTGTCTTTTCTATTATACTAAGACATATATTACATGGAATAAAATGTGCTTGAGTTTCAGATGGTGGTGGCATCTCCAAGTGGAGATGTCAGGCTGGCAGTTGTAAATGGAGCTGGAATGAAAATGAGAATAAGTATAGACATTTATTTTAGGAGTTGTGTATATATTTAGAGGAGATAATTGGAACTATGGGAAGAAGTTCATTCAGAGAGATTTGGCACATAGGCTTTAATTGGAAATAGCCAAGGGGTAGATTTCTTGCAAAGTAGGGAGTGGAGGCTATCATGCCTGCGGTAAGGCTGAAGGAAAGGAAAGGACAGAGCAGTGAGACGATTTTGATTTTTTAAAGCAGTTTTGTAATAATGGAGAGGAAGGCATAGCTTGGGAGCTGGGACATAATCAAGAGGTGGAAAAAGTTGTTACTTTTTAAAATCAGATATGCCAAGGGGAAGGAATGGATGGAGAGAGAACAATTAGAGATGAAAGACAGAGGGAATTGTTCGATTTAGTTTAACAAACGAATTGTTAAGTACCACTGAGGTGATAGGCATAGTGCTGGGTGCTAAGGAGACAAAGATGAAGTAAACATGAACCTGACTTGGGGACATTTACTGTCTAATAAAGGACAGGAGTGAGAGTAACACAAGACCAGCTGGTATTTACTGAGGACCTCGTGTCAGGCACCGTTGCAGATACTTTACATGCATGGACTCACTGAGTCCTCACAGCACCCCTATGGCTTAGTTATTGTTGTTATCCATAAAGAAGCAGAAATTCAGGCACAGAAACATTGAGTAATTTGCTCAAGGTCTTTAGTAAATAGTCAGCTGTGGAGCCAAGGTTTGAACCCAGGCTATGTACCTCTGCATCTCTGTGCGTGATGGAGACAAATGACTATACCACAATGCAAAGGTGGAAGTAAGAACAATATACAGAAGTAGCCTAAGGGAGGGAGGGCTTAAATTTTTTTGGCAAATGATAGAGATAGTAAGATCTCAGAGGAGGAATGAATGGAAGACAGGATGGATCCAGGTGAAGGGACACAGGGACATGCTGTCGTGACCAAAGTATAGAATTCATGGCAGGTGTGTGAGTGTGCATGTACTTGTGTGTGTATGTGTGTTGCTGTCTTTTTTCTGGTAATTTGCACAGCCTTCACCTGTGACCATTTTTTCGTTCCATCCTAATTATGGAGGATACTCACATTTGATTCTCTTCATTTCTGTGAACAATTATTAACAAGATATTTTTAAAAATATGCTAGAACTGGGTTATCCTTTTTAGGGATATCAGTCTTGTCCATCGAAACCATCATTGGAGTGGAGTTTATGACGTTAAATATAACATGTATATCTCTATCCGTTTGTCTATATCTAATTTGTCTATCCATGCAGAGAACTGGCAGATTTCTAACTGATTTCTTATTTCCAATGTAGATGGGACTCAGATATGCCTTGGGGAAAGAACTAGAGAATTTCAGAGGCAGATTACTGAAGATGCAATTGAAATTCCAGAAAATAAGCCAATCTTTTGCATGGAATGCTGAGTAGCTCTTTCTGAGATCACTGTATGTGGTAGATAGGAGACTTCGTTGTCTGTCTGTGGCTTGGCAGTCAAATGCCTACACTTCACCCTGTTTCCCATCCCACCCTTGACCTTACCACTGACCCCCAGCTCCTCCTGCAGCCACGAACTGCATCCCAGGATACGGGACATTGTGAGTGCTGCAGTCCTGTGAGACTCAGGTATGCTGTGAGGTTCTCTAATTTGCACATTAGTTATTAGTTTAAAAAAAAAAAACGTGATTTCTAGTGGTTTCTTTTAGACCACCTCAAAATGTCCCCACATCAAAATAGTTGTATCATTTTGGCCATGGGGGAAAGTGGCTACATCAAAATGTCATGTGTGGGCAAAGGGCTTATTCTTGGATGTGAGCAGGGGCATTTGATGAGGAATAAGTAAATTCAGAATTTGAAGGATAATTATTTATTATTTTAATTTAATTTAATTTTACCCATTTACAACACAGTTACACATACTCCATTCACCCATTACAGGGAAGGATTTGTGCAACTGTAAAAATGCCCCATCTGTGTTGACATTTGAGAAAGGAAATCCTGATCATTAGCATAACACCACTGCCACCTTGTGGTAATATCCGGTAGTTCATTGTATTTTATGAAAAAACTATGGTATTTATATATAGCATGTACATTTTGTACTTTCTCCGTGTAATGGTATTTTATAAAGTCACATACTTTTACCTAATGTTAATTAGAAAAAATACACTCAGTGGGGGGAGGGAGGGCATTAGGAAAAATAGCTAATGCATGCTGGGCTTAACACTTAGGTGATGGGTTGAAAGGTTCAGCAAACCACTATGGTACACGTTTACCTATGTAACAAACCTGCACGTGTACCCTGGAACCTAAAATAAAAATAAAAATTTTAAAAAGCAAAATACGTTCAGAAACTGCTCTAAAGAAGATACTTAGTAAAAAAGGAGAGCTTAATTTTATAAATTAATCAATGTTCACAAAATAACTACAGTCTCAATAAGGCAATTATATCATTGTAGATTTTCTCAAGAAAATTATAAGCTATTGTAAGGGACAAAGTACATTAGCAATCACTAGATGGTTTACTGATACAGAGGGTGATTAGAATATTTT